GCACAGAGCAATAAGTGATATTTGCTTTGCTGGCTGAACAGCTGATAATGTAGCATTTGATAATTTAGGTTTGTTCTCATTTGTGTCCTTTCCATAGCAGTTGGAACTACAAAGCAATCTGTCCTTGGATGAAGTGTTTCAGAAGTGACTTCAGCATTATTGTTTTGTATGAATTTAATGATGTAAAGAAGTACAGTCATAATAATGCTGAAGGTATTTCAGTAGAGGTCTCTGCTTCTCTCAGAGAGAAACACCAGCCTCTTGCAGAACTTTTAACAGCAAAAGCTGTACTGGATGAGGAACAAGTTGGGATTGATATTATGTATTTATTTACCTGCAACATTATATTCACTAAGAGCAAGTGTTTCATGGAATTAGTTGTTTGAACCCCATGATTTTTTTCCCCATAGTGAGACTCAAATAATGAACTGTGCAATGTATGTTGAAGTGAATGCTTATGATACTTTATAGAGATATTGAGCTCCTAAAAAAGAGATGGTACAAAATGAAACATTTGCTGTTTCTTAAGTGAAATAAAAGGATATTTTAATTATATTGTCTTATATCAATGAGTATATGGAGATGGAACAAATTCCCTAAGTATGTAGGTGAGGCTGTGAGCTCATCTTGTGAAATTATTCACTGTTATAGAAGATAAATACTGAATTTAAATGTTGGAGGAAAGGGAGTACGTGACAAACCTGAGCACGAGATGAGTAATCTCCAGTTCCATTTTTGCTTGAAAGGTTACTTGAGATTTCTTTTTCTTGATTTGATTACTACAAAATGGAGAAACATGGGTTATCTGGGGATGTGGGGGTTGTCAGAAAGCTGCTGATTAGTATTTTTAATGTGATGAGACTGGGAGGAGATGGAGGACAGCATCTCTGAGGGAAATGCAACATCCCTGCATGGCTGAGGTGCCCGAGCAGGTCCAGTGTCAGTGTCCCATCAATAAGAGACTGCACAAGGACTGCAAAGGGCTTTTCATTAATATCCCATCTGCAGTGATTGTGTATGATTATAACTCGCTCAGGAAGAGGTGTTTCGTAAACTAGTAAAGGGCAAATTATCATAATGTTTAATAACAAAAAGTAACAACTCTTCCCGCTTCTTGTTAGGACACAGTACTGGGACCGTGTCGTTTTACACCTGTGTTTTTCAGCTTCATCTTCCTGGATCCCAGCAAAATCACCGATAACTTCCCTGGGTTACAGATCCCACATCACTTTCCTGTGAGAAACGCTTTCAAGGCGTGCTGGGCTGGCTGCACCATCCGCCGCCAGACCGCAGGAACAGCTGAAAACGGCAGCGCCAGCACCAATAAGTAAAAAACCGATTTAGTTAAACATCCGCAATCGCTCCAGTGTGTCAAAGGCTTAAAGCCCCCGCTGCTGCAGCTGTAAACTAATAACCCTCGGGCGGCTTTCGAGGAGGCGAAGGCGACAGGTGCGGTGGGGACAGCCCGGCCAAGGGACAGCCCGGCCAAGGGACAGCCCGGCCAAGGGACAGCCCGGCCAAGAGCCCCCCCCCGGCTCGGCGGCGGCCGGGGGAGCGCAGCGCTGGGCACAGCACCAGCGGCACCAGGAGCCACTGTCCTGTCCCATCCCATCTCATCCCATCCCGTCCCGGTCCGCGCTGGCGGCCGCGGGCGGGCGGGTTCCCGGGCGCGCTCCCGGGCGCGCTCCCAAGCGCTCCCCGCGCCCCGCCGGGCCCGCCCCGAAGCGCCGCTCTGCCGGCGGCTCCTCCTCTGCGCGGGGCGGGGGATCCGCCGCCCTCCCTCCTTCTCCTCCTCCTCCTTCTCCTCCTCTTCCTTGGGCGGCAGCGGCTGCGGGAGCTGCGGAGAGGTGAGGCCGGGCCGGGCCGGGCCCCGCGCTCGGGGAGCCCGCGGGGGGCGGGCGGAGGGGCCGCCCGGGTGCGGGCGCGGCGGAGGGCGGCGGTGGGGTGGGTCGGGGCCGGGGCCGGGGCCGGGGGGACACAGCGGGGCCGGGGGGGCTCGTCCATCGCGGTGCCACGTGGGCGCGGCCATGGCGGGCGACCTTGAGGCCGATGGTGGCCCCGCTCCTCCCGCAGGGCCATGGCTGGGAACGCCGAGCGCACCTTCATCGCCATCAAGCCCGACGGCGTCCAGCGGGGGCTGATCGGGGAGATCATCAAGCGCTTCGAGCAGAAGGGGTTCCGGCTCGTGGCCATGAAGTTCGTGCACGTGAGTCCCCGCGTTCCCCCCAAACGCCTTCCCTTGCCTGCCAGAGAGGGGCTTGGGCACACACAGATCGTCTTGGGCACACACAGATTGTCTTGGGCACACACAGATAATCTTCATTTGCGGCTTTTTCTGCGTCAGAATGGGAATCTGATAGCGGACGTGCATCAGGCCGATTTCCTGCCCAGCACAGGATCTCGCCCCTGCCCAAAGGAAGCACGTTTTGCCCAAATGGTTTGGTGCAGCCCGACTGAGAGCTGAACCGACCTTGACTGAAAGGTTGTGTTGGGTAACAGCACCCAGGCAGCCCGTGCTCTGCTTATCGCTGAGGGTCACTGCCATGCAAAGAAATAATATTGACAGCTGGTAACACTGACACTGCCACAGAGGACAAATGGGCCGTGCACTCCTTTAGTTTTACATTAGGAGCTTGCATTGTACCCACAACAGCACTGCAGGCCTGTTGATAACATTAATGACTGGTGAGTCCAGTCACTAGTGCCACAGCCCTACAGCAGTGACACCTCTTGTGATATGACATTCAGAAGCTGATATTTAATGTTACATCTCCCCTTTTAAAGGCCTCCGAAGACCTTCTCAAACAGCATTACATTGACCTGAAAGACCGACCCTTCTTCCCTGGTTTGGTTAAATACATGAACTCTGGACCTATTGTGGCCATGGTAAGTGGCTTGATATTAGTTAAAGATGACTTGCTTGAATAAATTTGTCTTGCTCTGTAAATTATTTAAAATTGTCAGAGATACTGTCACAGAAACAGTTTTTCAAACTACCCAGTTCAGATAGTGGCAAAAGAAAACAAAAAAATTAAAATTAAGACAGTCAAGAAATTACTATATATTACTAAGAAGGAAAGTGCATGTATAAAATGTGTATTAAAACGCTTAACACGTATTAAGCAAAATTCCTGAGAGCAAATCTTCTGCACCAAAAATCTTCTGTTTTAGGCAAAAAAGGGTGAGGCTCTGACACAGAAACCCATCTTCTGTGTCATTCTTTCTTGCACTCCCCTCAAAACAATGTACTTGCTCCAGTAGCATCTCCTGGTTTGACTCTGTACCTAACTAGGAGCGCCTGCAGCTCAGCAGGATGTCCTTATCCTACCCAACCAGAAAGGTTTTTTAGTTGGCCTTTTGCATTGTTTAAGTCTGAGGCTTGGTAAAGTATCTCCTTCACTGGAGTAACAATGTTGATGGTCCTTTTTACAGACACTTCCAGTTCATATGTTTTTTCCCTTGTCACCCCTACAGGCCTAAGAGAGGATCTAGGCAAGGGTAATTTTTTTTGGCGGTAGAGCCCCTGTTTCTTTGGAAAGTATGTTATTAGCAAAGATTAATCTCTGGTATTTTGTATAAGCATGGATTAACAGGATTGGTTTTGTCTTTTTGTCTTAAGGTATGGGAAGGACTCAATGTGGTTAAAACTGGGAGGGTAATGCTGGGGGAAACAAACCCTGCAGACTCAAAGCCTGGTACCATCCGTGGTGACTTCTGCATTCAAGTGGGAAGGTTTGTACTCAGTTCATTAATTGAGATCAAAACCAACTACTACGTGATGTTTAACTGCCAGCATAAAATCTGATGGTAGTCTTTTATATCTGGAAAGCCAGAATTAGTGGTAGATACCCTCATCTGATGGTATTTCATTTGCAGGTCACAATCCATAACTGCTACTTAAGAAAATGGTACAAAAGTGACTCTGTTTGAAATCCAGCTCCTCCTCAGAGCAGCACGTAAGCTCAGGCAGGGGCTGGTGTAAGAACAGTAGCCCTAATGACCCTGGCTAGGCCTAATTAGCTCTCAGAGTGAGGCTGGTGGAACACTAGCCCGGAAATAAAAGTAATAGTCTCGCAGCTCTAGATGCTTCATCCAAGTTTTTGCATGTGGAGAATGGTGAGGTCGCTGAAAGTGTATTTTTATAGGGAACAATGTTTGTCTCCTTCCACAGGAACATCATCCACGGCAGCGACTCCGTGGAGAGCGCGCAGAAGGAGATCAACCTGTGGTTCAAACCCGCAGAGCTCATCGACTTCAAGCCTTGTGCACACGACTGGATCTATGAGTGACGAGTTCCCGCAGGGATCTGTGCCTTCTAATGCACCATCTCATTCCAGCTGCTGACCTGGGAGCAACCACGGTTACCTTAGTGCTCAAAGTGACTGTCAAATAAATGGGTGTGAACTAACTCCTTGTGGTGCATTCACTTCCAACAGACCCCGCGTTCAAATGGCCATGTGAGTCATTTTAGACATGCAGCATTTCCCTCCTGTAGAAGGAACACAGTTAACAAGAAATGCCGTGCACTGGCGCATCAGAATAAAAATCCAGGGAGTTATGTTCCTTCCACAGTTGGTTTGAAAGCTCCTGAAATCACGGCAGTGGCAAAGCCAGTTTGCAGAGAGCTGACAGGAGGCTGGAGCTGCTTCCAACACAGCTGAACTGTGCTAGGGGAAAAAAATGGGATACTACACAATTTCCTTCCTTACACAACTTCCTTCCTTACACAACTATTAATACCAAATGAAATGAGACCAAGTGCAAAGCTTGCTCTCTATTAAATGCTTTTATGTAATGCCACCATCTCATATTAAAACCCTTTCCTTGTGCTCAGCATCTTACATGGTTCATTTGTGGTCAGACCAACATACCCAGTTAGTTAAAATATTTATCTTTTACAAATCGTATTTTTTTAATTTGCATTCTGTTGAGAGAAGCTGGAGTGCGTTTATGTATATGCCAAATAGTGCCTTTTAAACAAAACAATCACTATTCAGAAAAGGACTTTTTTATCATTTTTATTTTGTGTAAAAAAGGCAAATTTAGTGAATTATTTTCATCTTGTACACAAAGTTATAATTTTAATGCTTTTCACATCCATGCTGAAAATCTGCAGTCTCGTAAAAATGAAAGTAACATTAATTTCTCCAAAAGCATTTTCTTCACTGAGTTATGTACATTGCATGAGAAAGCTTTAAATACTCTCTCATTGACCACACAAATTACCAAGAAAATAAAAAGATTAAATTTGTACAGATATTGATCTATATATCAAATACATACAGAAATGATGTAAAAACCCCATTTGTTTAATCTTGATTCCCGCCCCAACATTTTCCCAGGGGCCAAAGCTGATGCCTTTTTTGTATAAATGGCTGTGGCTTTTCGTTTTAAATATGAAAAAAATCAAAAGGAAGAAAAAATTCAGCTGAAATCACAGTTTTTTAAAATCCCTTCCCAATAAAGGATTGTTACCAAATATATTAGCACCATCGTACAAATATTGACGGGAGGGTATTCACATCACATAAAACAACAATAAAAAACCAAACAAACACTGAAACCCGTGTTAGTATCCGTAGAACAAGGAATCAATAACTGCTGTAGCTTTCCTCAGACGCAGCAAGGAACAGGTTAGAGAGTTGTGTGTAAAATAACATAAAAATCAAAGATCAGCAGAGAGATTTTGAGCAATTACAAAGGGGCAGCGGCCAAGTAAAGGGACAGGACTTGTGCCACCTCATGGTCATAAAAACCTGCTGTGCCAAATGCCAAAACCAGTCCGACCCCATTGAAGGTTTCAGGTGTCCAACACTCGCTGCTCTCTTAGCCAAGCACCACAGCTTAAAGCCAAGACAACAGTGCCCAGAGCCACGGGAATGCTCTGCAAACCCAGGGAGCTGCCACACGGACACCCCTGGCCCGCTGGCACTGCCGAGACCCCTCTGGCCCCGGCAGAACTCCCCTCAGGTCCTCCTTGAGCCTCTCCTGAATGAGGGACTTCAAGCAGCTCCTTGCGTGGTTTGCTTAGGACAGATGTCACTGTACTTGATAATTACACAATTCAGGCATATTTTGAAATTCAGAAACACAAAAGACATTTCACCAACTCCTGAAGTCACACAGGTACCCAAGAACACACGTCGCCTCACAGACTTTAGTGTTTGATGAATAAAAGAATATTATAAAGACTGACAGACTTCAAAACAGATTCTTAACATTTCTTCAACACAGAAGTGTTAAGGACTAATTTTCCCTCTTGACATTTGAAGACTGTAACTCTGAAATCAGGGATGAGCCTGGGCAATACTCAGAAACCCAAGGTTTAGTGACCTGGCAATACACCTCACTCACTCCAGCCTGACCTTCCACATTATGAAACACAAATTAATGCAACAGTTTTTCTACTGAAGTCAGAAGCTGCTGGTGAGAGAAGAAAGCAAGACTGTGAGAACCTTGTTCCAGCTGACTGGGACAATCTGCAAGTTGCTGCATTAAAAAAAAAAAAGAATAAATCAATAGTGCTTTACTTACCAAACCAAATCAATGCTTGCAGAGCTGGATTAATTTGAGAACATGGGGGGGGAGGGTGGGGAACCAAACCATAATCAAGGCTCAAAGTGTCATTACAATGATCTCTAATCCTACTTCTCCAATCCAGGCTATTCAAAGGAAACATCACAGGCAGGTCAGAATCTGAAATAAGGTATTTGAAGTCTACCAGGCCCAACAAAGTCCTTTTTATGGCTATTTCAGAGAGCTATAATGTCTTTACCACCTGAAGTTATAGACACTTCTAATCTGATTACCAGATCCTGTCAGTAGAAGAAGCTGTTGTTAAAAAGGGGTCGCTATTTAAGAAATTTTACCAGTAAGGGAGAAAAGAATTCCAGACATTCCTACACTATACAGGACATGTTTTACTTCCAGTAGTAAATACAAAACTTTACATAATTAACCCCTCTTGCATAGAATGAGGTAAACCTGTGCATATCACCAATACTATGTACCCAAAGTTAGAGCAATATTTTAGAAAATAATCAAATTGCTGGTTTTCAACTTTCTATGCACTTTTTTTTTTTTAAGCTCAAACAACAATATACAAAAATGGTCTCCTGGGGCTCTGTGGGTTGATATCCTTAAAGCATTTCTTAGGCTGTAGGAACACAGATGTTAATAACTTTGATGGAATTTTTTTTTTTTAAGCCCTAATTTATGGTCTAGAGTCAGATATCATTGTACTGCTCTGAAGGGGACCTGCGAAGACCCAGAAGCACTTATAGAACATATGCAGTTAATTCCTGAGAGTTTAGTTAATGAACCTTACTGGTAAAAGCTAAAGCTCTTGATGCACATTTTTCTAGTCACAGCTCTGCAGGGCTGTTTAACCACTTCACTCATCAACTCCACGAATGAGGTCATTTACAAAAATGTTGAAAGGTTAAAAATATGGAAAGAAAATTCAAAGTATTAAGAGCTCCTGCAAAAACACCTTGTATTTTACTGGTCATCATTTTCACTCTGTTATGTGACTTTTACGAGGTAAAAGTCAGGACAGTTGAACACGTGGGGCTTATGGAATACTTGATGTGAGACAAGAATTCCAGGCAATAAGCAAATCCAGTTTATGAATTATATACTGAAAAATATATGATATTATACTGTTCTCAAGTCTCAACTCCCACATTACACTACTGCAGCAAGACATGAATATTGCAGGCTATGCAGGGCTGAAGTAATTTTTTAATCCACAACATATGGCTCCTTTCAGCTCACCTGAAACCACGTGGAACATCAATTCTGAATGTCCACAGATAAATATTTAAGATGGTAAGGAAACATCTAGGGCTTTCTGAATAGAAAAAGATAGTCAGAAGAATACTCACAAGCTCCTTACCACCACCAAGGGAGTCCTTAGTTACTGTCCATTTAAGCTGCTTCTTCAGTCGAAATTCAGAGCTAAAACTAATCTTCCAAATGAGGGAATTCTCTAAAGTTCCAGTTTGGCATAGGGCTCTGTAAACATGTGCTGAAGCATTCAAGACTACAGACATTCATGTACAGACAAGAGTTTTGTAGACCCAATCCAGTGCCCACTGCAGTCGACGACAAGGCTACTGATATTAATGGGCACTGAATCAGACCCTAAGGAACATTAAAAAGCAAAACCTCATATAAAAAAAAGGTATTTTAAATTAAACAAAAACATCTTGAAAAGTTAAAATCCTCCTCAGGTGATGGCTCCGTTGCACTTGGGGCTACTCACTGAGTAGAGCTTTACAGGACTATCTTCCACATACAATTGATGCCTCTAAATTAGGGCTTAAACGCCTTATTTTCACAATGAAAACCAGAGGCGTGACCAGTGCAGTTCACAAGAGTCTTAAAAGTCTCCCAACTTGTACCAAAAAGGTTCATTTGTTATGACAGTTCATTTGTATTTGCAACTATATCTTCCTCCAACCACTTCCCACAACCATGCTAATTAAACTTTAATCTTACCAAAAAATTAGAATTTCAGTTCTCGTTAACAATGCACAATAAATCTGAACTTGAAAATATTACAAAATTCTTTCAAAAGCTTCAAATACAACACAAAAGTGTCCATTTTTTTTGTTTTTAATAAATTGAAAAATCTTTTTCACTAAAATAGTTTCCCCGCCCTTCCAAAAAATTCTGAACTGAGTCTAACTCATCTACAGTCAGCAAAGTGCCCCAGGCACAGTCACCCCAACTGCACCATCCAAGTGGGAACAACATCAGTCAGTCTTGGAGAAAGGCTCTTTTCCTATCACCAATCCTCTGCCTCTCACTCTTCTGAGCTGCCTCATGGTTCCTGTTTGATGTAGTAGCTGGCAGATCCGTTGCTTTCCTGGTCGGACGCTCCCTGAAGGAAGCTGTACTCTTCTCCATCCAGCAACTCCTCCTTCAGCTGCAGTGAAGTCACTACAAATAAAAAATTAACATTAAAGATCTGTAAAATGTAAAACGCAACTCTTCCCTAAATGTGCTTAGGATTACTGAAATTTGGGACAGACCCTGGATTTCTCATTTTCTTATATTCTGCATTTTAGCAATTCTTTAACACTCAGGATCCCATAGAAAGCAGATCCTTTCTGACCATAAACTGAACTTTAAGTTGTGCCTTAATTTCAACAGATCACTTACAATACTAGATTGTCTACAGGGTTTTCTCATGAATTTATTATTTTAAACCCCTGGGCTAAGAAGGTAACAACAGGTTAATAGCAATAATGACTGTTGCTCAGAACAACACTTAATTCAACCTTGACTTCCTATTTAGTCTTTATGCAAGTAAAAATGAGATTAACTGTTGGCCATTTCCAACTTACAATTCACATTAAATAGCCCAGTTACTGTAAACAGTCTATGTAAGACAAGAAAAAAATATCAAAGATTTCTCAATCCATCATTAAAATTTTAATATCCCAGAAGGTGTTTCATTCAAGCACAACATTTTTTTGAGTTTTCATCTTCTCTCTTCTTTCTTTTGTCAAAAGAAAATAGAAATGAGATCTAAGACATAAAAAAAAAGATGTTATGAATAGCAATAATGTCACAATTACTTTTCCAGTTTCATTAATGAATAGTGACAATTACCAAAATATGAGCACAATGAAAAGAACACTGAAAACAAAACATGTAAACTTTCATTAAAGGTGCAGTACCCATGTTAAAGGGTTGATTATACAAAAATAAATGATTCTCTATGACCAAATGAATGAGAAGAGTATTAAAGTTTATAACTACTGAATATAAAGCTTGTACACATTATTAATGTATCTTGAAATGCAGAAATATGCAAAGAAAGTAAAAAACCCAACCCATAAACCTGCTGCTACTGGTAGCTCTGCAATAACTTACAAGCCCTTTGATTATTCTTTTATAAATGTTCTATGTCATTTTCTATATTGAAACAAGCTCTTGTGCTAAATAAAAATAAAATTTGAAAATTAAGGTAGTAAAAGATGCCAAAAGTTGCAGCATAATGCAAGATCTCCTCATCTCTTCCTTTAATAGATGCCTCCTCCCACCTACACAACCCACAATCCCCTCCTCGCATTTTTTCTCCTCAAATACTTTTCCCTGTATTATGCCCAGCTCTGATCAAGATTCCTGATCTGTGGAGGACAACAAAGTGCTGTCTAAATAATAAGATACACAATTGGTTACTTCGATATGCTGCTGACACCTTAAGCAAAGGATACACAGAACTAAAACGCACCAGGCACATCCTCCTCCTTATCCCCCCAAGCAGGAAGCTTCTGCAGGTACAGGACTTACACATGATTTGGATTGCCTCTGGCTAACTTGAACCCAAGCCCTGACATTCAGATATTTAATGATCCTTTGCTTCATTTGTCCCTGTTATACAATTTTTAACTACCATCTTCCATAAGAAAAGCTTATGAAAGCTACGAACCAAGTTACTTAAAAGAAGAATAAAGAAAGCTAATGGAAGTCACCTGACTGAAGGAGAAAGGATGCAGATGGGCAAGGTACTCCCTTTTTAAATTGTCTCAGTGATTTGCCTGGAGACAACAACAGACTGTGTCTGATGCCATGACATTCAAAGCCCCCAAATGTCAAGGCAGAATGAAGCGACGTGGTCCACAGATCAGGTGAGCCTCTGGGAACAGTCTCCTCCTCTGCCAGGCTGGCTTTAGGCTCTTTTTAGAAGCAAAGCTGTCCAACAGTTGAACTTCAGTGCTTAAAAGATCATTTCAAATGACTGAAGAATGCCAAGCACTGGTGGACACTCAAGCAGCACCATGATTTGGCTAGAGAGCAAAACCTCTTCACACAAACAACATGAAGTGCTGAAACCTTCTGTCTCCTGTGCTTATGGCAGTACAAAAGGGGAAAGAATTGGTTTTGAGCCTCACTGAGATCTCCCAAGGACAAGCAGTTTCAGAGCAGATGCCTGTTTTGTTACTGATCTCATACTGCTTCCATGCCAAGCCATATAAACACCCCCTGCACTGTGCCTACATCCGTCCTACAGCTACTGGAACATGAGGCAGTGGACGTTGCCGAGGAATATGCATGTCATTAATCAGTTCTGGCCAATCTCAAACATGTTCTGAACTTACTAGGGTTATGTTCTCCTCCCTAGACTGGAGAGGTGTGGTCTTGCTGGTTTCAATTTAAGCACAAACACCTTCGGGCAATGACAAGGCTACATCACAACAAAACCAACTTTGTCCAACCTCACCAAAACTCAGAACGCTGAAAAGTTCCCCCCAGATGATCATAGAAAGCACTGAGTATCAGAAACCAAAGAACACAGGAGCTCCATAGGAACTCTGAGATCTACTGACACAGAAATTCAGACTGGGCATGTCTTTGCACTATACCAATGCAATTCAGGTGTAGATTTGCAATAAGAGAAGAACAATTGTGCAAAAACAAATACTCCAGAACACTCCCAAGCAAGGCTCCTCCTTTGCATCAAAGACTCTGTTAAAAGAGGCATGTACACACCAGTAGAAAGCTGAAGTGAAACCAAAGGAGTCCTTGAGAAGTGCTGAAAGGTTTGCAGAAGAGAGTAAAGATTTGTCCTGAGGGTCTAAAGGTGGCAGGTAGGTTCCCGTGTCCCAGTCTGTTAATGGATAACACATGGACAAGAGAAACCTTTCTAGATGTACTCCACTGGCAATGAGAAGTGCTGACTAAGGCAAGTTTAAGGGAGTAATCAAGCAAATCTGAAGCTAAATCTACCAACCTGGCAACTGTTGGGCAGGGAGAGCATCATCCAGTTTGTCTGACAGATTGTATTGCTGTAACATATTTGGTAGCAATAATCTGTTTACCTGCTACATCGTGTTGCCATAGATATTAAGAAAAGGGAAGAGAAAAACTACTAAATCCTTGCAGTGAACTTCTATAATGGAAGATTGTTTACAGTACATAAAGTATCCTTAAAAGAGATCAAAATTTTAAGCTACTTCCTCATTATTACCAAGAAATGAATTTTAGAGTTTTTCCCTGCTCCCTCACACAGATGCACAATTACACAGTTCAAAATATATTTTCCATCTTGGTAACCCACAAAATTTCAAGTAACACATTCTGAAGATATTTTCACAGGTACCTGTCTTTTTCTGATACAAAGGCAAAAATCCTTATTTACTGTCTATAGTTATTTATTTACTGTGTACTTTCTCTGCAAAAGATAACCTACACTGATGTCCTGCTTGCATCAAATCTTCCCAAATCCACATTACCATTCAGTTTTACAGAGTGCATTTTTTGCATTTTAAAACTCTGCAGAGCTCCTCTGGGATTCTGTGATTCTCAGCATCCTACAGTAATGCGGCCTCCTTCCTGTGAAGGAGGAGCTGTGTTCTAAATCCTTTCCTATAATTAATTCCGTGATGTGGTGCATCAGTGAGAATGAGAAGCTCTCTAAAAAAAAACAAAACCAAAAAAACAAACTAAAATTTAAAGGAAAAAAAATTAGGCAAAAAGAAAGATTTGATGAGTCAGCACACGACAGGCCGCATGGTTTCCCTGTGCAGTAACACATTGCTGTGACCAGTTACCTGTTTGGAGGCTGGGACTGAACTCTTGGCTAGTCCTGGGAGGCTGGAAGGCCTCCGGGGCTGTCTGTGCTGGAAAGGCTCGATATGGAGGAGGAGTCAACTCGTCATCCCCAGAGAAGCTCCTCTGCACCTCACCTGCCATGGGTGGGCTGGACAAACTGACAGGTTTCTTCCCAACTCGTATCTTCCTCTCTAAACATCAAGTCAAACTAAAATAAACGCTCGGGTTAAAGTGCATCAGGTAACTCTGACTGTTCAGCTGAGAAATGGCTCTGATTCATGTTCACCCATTCTGGAAAACAGGGGCCTGTATGAGGCACCATTCAGTTATTATTGGGAATATTGCTCTCAACAGCCACATTTTAGTCCCTGATTCCTAGAGACTGGCTGGTAGGACTTCAAGGGCATTGTTTAACACCATGACCCACTTATTTCAAACTCTATCAATGACATATAAATGCTGTAAACTGCTTCTGCTGCAGCTACACTGCATGGTCACACCCAATGCTCTGGCTGGGCACTCAAAGACATCTTGGCTCAGTTTGAAACTGCAGTTGTTTCAGTGTCTGTGACTAAAAGACAGAAGGATGGTTCTGGGGAAATAATCCTCTCCCAGTAAAATTTATCACCTCCAAAATTCTAGTGTAAAAATACATACTCTTAATTCCCTTAAAATGGTGTTCTCCATTTTTACATTGCCTTACAAACATAAACGAGCATTTAAATGTGTAGCAAAAGTAACTTCTAAAATGCCTTTGAATAATTAAACACTGCATTCCTGAAAAAATGTTGCAAAAGCATTTCCCATACAAATCATTATCACGTTCCTCCTTTATCACTAAGATATTCCCATTCTGTGCCTGAGGCAATTTCTCTATGATATCAGGGATGCAAGCTCTGTAACACAACATCACTGCTTTCAGCTATATCAAAACTATGGCTGCTTATGCTTCAGTCTTGTCAGACAACAAGAAACAAAAGCCTAGCCCTGAAAAGGTAAGTGGATTATATATATGCTAAAGATACCACCATGCTTAAATATTCTTCTTATGAGACAACTTCAGGATGAGCCTTTCAGAGAGCTTGATTAGGCAGAAAGGTGTCTACAGAACCCCAGCTTTTAAAATATCAAGGTCAAATTATCATTTCAGTAACCTTATTCTGATATATACACCTATGAGAAAGCTGACAATCCGAGGAGATACTGCATCCCTTGTTATTAATTAATTGTCTAAACAAACTCAGAAGCTACCCTTCAGGAATTCACCTGCATAGCCTTCTGAGCAGCAGGCACAGGGTACAAAACCCCACCCACCGAAATAAACACTACTGGAAACAGAATTGGCAGTGATTCCCAAGTCTTCCCAAAAGCATCCACAAAACATTCACAATGCAATCAATTCCCCTTCCCACTGAACACGTGCTACTCTCTCCCCCTGCTGCCAGTAAGGAGGGGACACACTGCTGTAAAAATCTGCATCATTATACATACACAGCAGAATGACTCGGTGACATCCTGGACTGTTTTGTGAGTACATGAGAAGTGTGTGGAAATAACCCCTCTTTGCTAAAAATAATCTAATTTAGGACATGCACAGTTTCTTGTTAATCATCCGCGGTTACCTGACATGTTACCACAAAAGCACCACTGCTGGGTTATACAGTTTTACGACTGAAATCCTTTACAAAATAACATTCTATTTATTTTTATTTACAAGTGCTGAGCAAGAAAAAGCTACAGTAGACAATTTTTTAGTATTATTTCTTGTGACTCAGCAGTTTCTTTGCCATAACCTACTTAGAAAAACCCCACGCACGAGGCAGCCAACTGCTCATGACCTTGTTCTCTCATCTTCTCATGATTAAGAGGATTTCTTAGTATTGAATAAACAAACTACCAGAAGCTCTCCCTTGCTTCCATAGCCAATATTTACTTCAGGTTAGTGAGAAATGAAGAACAAATTCCACTAGAATAAATCTCCTTCCTATGGCACTAGAGGAGTTCACTTTCCAGTGCTTGTGCACACTTACTCTAAGAGATGGGAGGAAACTCTCAGAGGTATTAGGTGGAAGGAGAGGGATGAGGTAAAGAGCAGGATGGTCTAGTATACCTTGCTGAACAAAATCTGCTCAGATAGTTCAGAATTCTTCAAAAACACATCCTACACAAAGCTAATTAATGACAGACCCATGTTTCCCTACCTTAAGGTAATGGCACTCACAGCTTTCCCTGGATATTCTCAAACCAGGGTTTTTTTCAGTACCTGAATTCTATTTAAAAAATACTGCTGCAAGATTCTCAGAAGGATCTGGATTTAACTGTTATTTCCTCCAACAGCAGAAAGGAGAAACAGTGCAATGATTGGGGCACCCAACAAGAGGTTGAAGAACTTCCCAGACAACTGTTTTATCCGTGGCACTCACTGCTCAACTTCCTTTCATGTCCTGAGATCAACAAAGCAAAGGCTGTTTTCCCAGTGACTAGTGAAGAAGGTTCCAATTGGCCTTGACAGATCCATTCACAAATTTACCAGGAAGACGAGGCTTTAATTCCTCACATTAGCTCTACACAACAAAAAACCACTCTGGAAACAAGTCTAAATAAATCAAGATAATTTGATTCCAAGGGAATCAGTCTCTGTGGAAAGAACTTGAATACTTCAAATTCTTAAAAATGTCCTTATTATGTTTTACTGTGACAAGAACAGTCACATCCAGCAACGCTGTTTATTGTTTCTGAAACTAATAATATAAAAGCTTTATTTACATAGATGCTTCATATAAAAAACCTGGTGAATAAGTCACTCTTTTGTTTCAAAAAGGAACCAGCTGGATGATAATTTATATTTTCTACACCTCATTCTTTCTCATTCCCCTAACTTGGTTCTTATGCCTCCACCTGTGTTACAAAGAGCAGAGTTCAAACTGTGCTGATATCTGAGTATTTTGTACAAGGCAGTACAACTACACAGTCTATTATTTAACCGTTAAATATTGTAACAGTTGTCCACCTACAGTTTATTATTACTATTATTATTATCATCAATATCTACCCTATCACAAGTTATAAAAATGGTTATTCTCAATGAAAAAGTTCCTTTTATGGCATACTGCACCTTTAAGCAAAACACCCATTTAGACACAAACATTTCCAAATAGAACAGGGACTTAGGGAGAGACCACAAACTTTAAAACAACAGGAAAAGTGCAAACACTACTTTGTCACCCACTTTTCTTATGTCCTTTGTACTGTTGCGATTTAGCTTTTTTCTTCTGTTTGGATGAACTTGACTGGCTATCTCTTGATGCTGCAAAAAATTAAGAATTCAAAATCGATGCTTAGTATTTTGGAAGAAACACTTCAGAACGTGTCAAAGCTGCTACACAATTACAGAATTTTTTCTCAGTGACTGAACAAAGGCAGAATACCTTTATCGTGGAAACCAATTGGCATAAAACTACTAACACTATTATTACCCTCTCATTAAACAACTAAGCCAACTAACAGTTCTTGAAATACAGTTATCAATTATTATCACTTGACCTGACAGGACAAGTCTTGATGCAACAAATAAAATACAACCTTCCCACATAAATGCTTCTGCACATGGACAGCTCTGCACGTGCTGAGTTCCACCAAATTCAGCAGGTAAAGCAGATATACTGGCAGACCTAAAGCAATATAAATTCTCACTGGTATCATCCAGAACTGACAAGTAACAGGGTTTTTCCCCTGCAGCATCAAACAAACATCTGGCACTGAAAAATGGTAAGTAGCCACAGAAACACTCAGAAGTACTTTGGAAGTCAAGGTGGGACTGATTAGAACTGTGAATTAGAACTTTCAAGCGTTAGCAAGAATTTATTCTATTTTTGTTATGCATGAAGACCTAAATTGCAAAGGATGAGGGTAGAAAAACCAGCATCCATGAAATTTCCATTATCCACAAAGCTGGAACTTACACTGCGGCGCCGGAGGCTGGAGCTGGTACCCGGTGAGCTGACACCATCCCACGGGATACAGGTCTGGGGACTCACAATCCACCCACTGATCATACTCATCTTCCCACCCATCAAAGTGGATCCTCAGGAGCCGATGGATGATGCGAGTCACTGTGGCCACACACACCAGGCGAGGCTCCATCAGATCAACAGCCTCCAGTTTCATTCCAACATGAAACCCATGGTTTGGAACTTCCTGGAGAAGCAAACACAAGCAAGGCAAACATCAGTAAATAAACACGTTAATTAATAGTTTAAGCACAGTGTCGAAACAAATATTTCAGTCACTTAATACAGAAAACCCCCAATATCATTGATGATATTTCAAGTACCGTGCACTAATTTAACATTTTGGAGATATTCAAGCTTCATATACTCAAATGGTTCTTATTTCCAAAAGTCTCTGTGTCTTAGTTTTTCAGAATTGTATTTAATGAAATGGGTCCATCCCACACACGATGCAGAAATTTAAAGAAAATACTAATTACAAGTTACTAATTACTGATTATACATGTAAATATGTATAATTTTATTACCTTATTGAAGAGCTTTACAGGTGCTGCTATTGAATCAGTTTCCCTGAGGTAGTCAAACCATTTAAAAGGGAGTTTTGCATAACCTGTGAATTTTAAGCAACATCTTCATACATCAACTGCAAACTTCGTGCATAAGAATAACAACAAAAATAGCACATTGGCACTGTGTTATGGCTAAAAAGACAACAAAGAAGTAAAACATTAACATCAGAAACTTCCATTCTCTGAGCTTTGGTCTAAGGGACAAACAGGCACCTGGATGTTGCCCATTTGCAACAAACAAGATGAATGAACTTCTGGGTAATACAGAAGGTATGATTTAATGTTAAGATTAATGATTCATACTGGAAGTTTTTGTTCATGTAGATTCTTGATCTGTACAAATGCCCCAGAACAGATCACTGAATTAAGCACATCCAGCGTCTTTCCTGTGGGGAAAGAGCTCCACTACTGAACCACTTGAATAATTAGGAACATAATGGTAAGAACAAACATGGATATTTTAAAAGTTAAGTAAGGGTAAAAATAATAATGCGGAAAATCAGAGGATTTTTTTTAAAAGGGAAGAAAACAATACCTCAAATCTGTGCAGCTTCTACTGAACGTGCATAAAATACTCAGGAATATTTTTTACTTTGGGCAACTTCTACAACTGCTTTAGCTCAACAATTCTCAATTCTAGCTGGAGCAATAGCAGCTTGGAAGGTTTCTCTTTAGTAATATGTAGTGATGGACATCCTGAAAGGATGGCAGTGCAGTGGGAATAGTGTGGGAGACGGGGGATCTGTATCTCACCCATGTACAGGCAGAGAGCTCCCACTGAATCCCAGCTCAGCACTGCAGGGCCAGATTCAGCATTCACAGCCCAAAATTCAATCCCTCTCTTGAAAGTGTCTAAGCATCTTCATCTTCCACTGATTTCATTAAGAGATGAAGATGTTTGGAAGGAATGAGCTTATAAAGTCCAAAGATTTCACAGTAACTTAGTTATCCACAATGCTAAATGCAAATTGGATAAGAGTGTTCACATTGGGTATAGAATATCTGCACGAACAGATGCAGCTGGAGAGCTAACAATTAATAAGGGTAATAATGTATCAGTTATGCATGTTAATGCTCTTCTTCTCAATGCAACATTCCTCTGGTAGACCAATATATTTGTATTTAAATCCTTTAATTGTTCACCACACGAGACATGTACACGTGGGCTTTGTCAGAGCAGTCAGAATTAAGAAACTGTCCATTTTGCGTCCCATAATTTGGACAGCAAAATACCCCTCTCATAAGAACTAAGGAGCTTTGATCACTTTGATCCTATTTAAATGTTAATGCGCATTATGGTCTGTATTTTACTGCTGTTAATTCCTCTTTCAAATGACTTTTAGATTACTGCACGTGTGATTTACAATCTCCTCTCACTGATGGTATAGGGCTGTTATGAAACACTGCAGAGACAGGGAAAACATACATGTAGATAAAGGATAAGGCTGCAGGATACAAGAAACACATAAGTATCATAGATGTGCTAACAACAAAATGCATATACTATTGTTAAGTAATGTTTGAAGAGCGAAGAGGTCGAATCTCATCACAGAAGGGAAGTTTTTTTGCTATTCTGTCTCCTCAGTTCCATGTATTTATTTCTAAATTGATTGATATGTATTGATATACAAGCATTTGCTTCCCACAAATACTTCTATTGCAAAAGTCCTCTTGCAGCACATTTCTTTGGAGGGGTGCTGGTGCCCATGAATTTCTAGGCAATAAATTAAAGTAAATCTGTCCAAATCTGTGCACTTCCCACTTACTCAAAGGTGACAGAGTCATTACTGCACAACAATGAAAGTGATATGAAATTACTTTCTTCATGTTGCATTACATCGTCTCTGTAGTTATTACCCAGAAAAATAGTTCAATAAATACAAGTAGAAGCCTACAAGAATGAGAATGATGGGGGGGGGAAACATAGAAGGCAACTGTCATCTGCTGCTACACAGCTGGTTACAATCCTCTTTATCAATTGTCAGACCAAGACAATAAAATGGGACAAGGAAGGCAAAGTCCTTCCCCTGCAGGCACATGTGCCAGTGGACACACAGCCTTTCCTCACAGAAGGGAGTGCACAGCCCTAATGGCTACTTCCTCAAAGCTCAAGTTTGTGTCTAGTCTTCACAAAAATTAACTGGTATTGTTGTTAATCAGCCTGAGATTCTTTACAGTGTTCATTAATCCTTTCGTAGGTCAGAGCTTCCCAAGTAATGATATGTTTTAAACAGCCCTTTTAATGACTCCCATATTTCCTAAAGAATCCTCAATTTCTTGCAGCTAAAGCAAATTATTTCAGCCAGAGAATCAATCAGATGTTCAGTTAGACTTTTTCTAAATGAAAAGTTAGTTATCTCTGCTTTAGACTACTTTCAAGTAACGCTGTTGTATTTGTTTCAGACTTGAGAAAGCCCTAAAAAGCGACACAAATTTTGTTTGAGTTAAGTAACAAAGCATATGGCACATACAATATCACTGAGAAATATTCAAAATAAATGTGGTCAGAAGGCTTTATGTACCTCTGGGTGGAGTTAGTTCAATCATGTTAATTTCACAGAAACCAACAGGGAAAATAGAAGGGGAAGTGGCATGGTAACAAAACCAATCAGACCCATCTGCTGCTTCTGAGCCATCAATCCCAATCATAAGATAGCCATCTGCTAACACCTTTGTAAAGAAAAACAAAATTTGACATTAAATACCTTGAAGGGCGTGAGCAGGCTAGAAAGCAAGCATGCCATGTTTCAAAAGAGTGAAAGGAACTCAGTAATAATGGAAGAACACTTAGAAGGACATTCAGTTTTAACAAAAAAAACCCCAAATCATACCTGTCTCGAGGATTGTGTACAACTGTCACACGTACCTTTGATAACTGCAAAGTTATGAGATGAACATTTCCTTTTTCTGATCTCTAGGTTTTCTTGGGAACACCAGCTCTACTTCTAAAGCTTTATAACTCAGTCTACTCTTGAGCTTGCAAGGATATTCAGAACACCATTAATAAGATAAAAGACTCAAAATCATAACCATAGTCCTCACTGGTAAGGTTGTACAATTCTGCTAAGCTACTTTTTATATTTTTCTTTCTTTTTTAAAACAGATCTCACATGGACTGCCTCCCTTTCAGTCAAGGACATCCTTAGAATGTCTTTGTAGACTTCTGTAAGTCAGCAAGATGAGGTTTGGTTTTGAACAGTTGCAAAACACTTGGTATAATTAGCAGAAGATTGTCCTGCAAATTAATCTCACAAGCATATTCTAATTAAAGGTAAAATTGAATTCCCAGAGATTATTGTCAAACAAATTTACATGAGTACATTTTTCACAGCAGTTGTATATAATTTATGGACATATCCCATAAACATTCACTGTGTGAACAAATTGCATTGATTTTGGTTTCGAGCTTTTTGTTTCAAGCCTCAATAAAGGTGAGTGAAAAAAGATTCCTATCTGCCTACCAAAAAACACACTTGTTTTCTTACCTTTCTAATAGTTGCCACACATATTGCTGAAAGGTTTAAGGGGTCTATAGCTTCCAATTTCATTCCTTCTTTAAACCATTCTCCAGCTGCATCAACCTCTTTTACCTAAAGGATCACAGAACAGCACCAGAAGCAAAGAATTCAATGAGTCTGGAACAAAACATAATCCCACACTGCCAAAGCAACAGACTGAAATACCTGTTCTATCATCTCTGCTTAAGTCAAGGAGGTGAAATTGGGTAATAAAAGCAGAAATACTTTTGCTGGGCACATTTCCAGGGCATAGCAGAATTTCAGGTCTTTTTTTACACACAACAGGAAGTAAAGGTCCTCAGTCAACTCTGAGCAAACAGTGTTCTTGCTACCAAACTCACCTTCATAAATAAGTGTGAGGGTGCATCAAAATGTCCATCCTGTTTCTTTGTAATATCTACAAGAAATATCAGTATTATAATATTATTCAGAAGTCTTGCTAACAGAGGAAACAGTATGTATGCTAACAGTTTGTCAACCACTATTTATCACTGAATCTTCTAGATATTGATGTATTACAAATCAACCTAAAAGTTATTTTGCCTTTTCCACTGTTGTGTACTATACTAATTATAATTTTAACTTCAGCTCCTGAACGTAATATAACTGGTTAAACCCCTGGGCCACATTATCCACATTTTTAAATATTATTATTCAAGCTAGTTTCATTAATTGTATGCAGTGACAGAACTGCTTGAGTCAGATTTTTTGCAGCCAACACCGCAAAAAATCTCAAAACACAAGAACCTTACCAGATCTTTTGAATCTGTGTCCTATGCTTCGAGACCAGCCAATGTGATGGATGAGTGGACTGTACATATGGCACCAGAAGTCATCAGTTTTGTCTTCACTTTCTTCATACACCAACCTCAGCCGGCCCCCAATGACACTCTCAACCACTGCCACCCTTGTTCGGCAAAGGTGTGTTTTGTCAACAACTTCTACTCTCATGGAAGTTTTGAACGGGTACTGCATACTCTCAGACACCTTAAAGTGACAGAAAAAAAACCATTCTGTAAGAATATACCTTGGTTTTCCATATTCATCTGCCTATTAAAGCACAGTATTGATGCACTTGTCATTTAATTCAAATACCTGTTAATCAACCTGCAGAATTGACACGGATTATTTCTCTTCTATTTAATTGTTTGTGGGGAGCAATGAAATGTTTCAGAAAACAGATCTTACTATGTTTTAATTGTATCAAGTTCATCCCCTAATATAATTCTCACACAGGTTACATGAACTTTCCATTGACATAATGGAAGTTTGTTCAGTTGATAACAATGGATCAAGTTACCTTGAGACACAATTTTAACAACAAACACCTCAAGATTTTTTTCTTGCTTGGTCATTCACTCAAAATGAAGCATTTGAAAAATGGGATTAAAATACTGCATTATAAAAGGCATGGAAGACAAATCTTCAACGTAATTAAAACTGGCTGCTTAGATATTTCTTCATAACATAGCAAAAAGAAATGAAGAGAATGGAAATAGATGTTAACCCACTTTGCGACAATAGATTGTGTTAAAAACCAGTATCAGTCACTTGCCATTTTCATTATGAATTCCCCAAAGTATTGAGATCATGCGAAATTATTCTGGCTTCTAACTGAGCCAATTTTTAAATAAAAATTAACAACTGCAGCAAGGTTTTTTGTGTGTTTATTTTTTAAACATTAGATGCACTGTAAAACAACAAATTAAGTCTCATATTCCTACTAAGAACTATATGCATCATCTCACAAGATCAGCAAGTAAACATACAGCATACTATACAGCAGCTGCCACAGTTGAAAATATCTGAAAATCAGAAAAAAACCAGTCCAGAGCAGGTGAAAAATATTAACATTTAAAAGTATGTACTTCATTGCATCTAGATCCATGCTATCCTAACACATTTTGTTTAGTTTCTTGAAATAGTGCATGACAAAAATCATTCCTGAATCAGAAAAAAGTTTTCATTTTTCTTACATATCACAGGGTAGCTCTTGAGCACTTCTGGGTTTTCTGTGTTTTTTTAGAATGTGGTATTTTAAAATTAAAGTAGGCTAACTAGTTTTTAAAGAAAACTACTTTTTTCTAGAGAAAACAGTTTTCCAAACACATACTAACAAGTGTGGACATAACTGGAGAAGAGATTCCAAGGAAAACCGTATCTAAGGGAAGAAACTACTGTATCACCTTTATTATAAGAGCTAATGTGCCATTGTAAAATATTTCAGTTCTTCACAACTGTGCTGCAATTTCTTTTATAGAACATCATTGATATTGCATCAGCCTTACCTTCTGAGAAAAGTCAGGAGGAAGTGTTTTGGCACCAGTAAGTCGTTTCACTAGAAAAGCTTTCCAGTTTGTGTATTTGTGTTGGATGGCTGTTGCAAATGAAGGGGAAAAAATAAGCCACTGATTTTTAATTGTGTCCATTAGAGACAGTATTAGAGTCTGGAATATGTAAAGAAGAAATCCCAGATGACTGTTAAAAGGCCTGGATGACAATAATGACAAAAAACCTCTTTAGAGAATGAATGCTACCCAAGATTAATTTTATGGGTCAGGGAAAAGAATTTATTAACAAAATACCAATAAAATCAGTGCATGTTCCCATCACTGATTGGTGAACTGCTTCCACCCTGATCCTAAAACCTAAGTTGCATCCGATGGGCTACTCCAAGAAACACTTTCAACATCAGTCAAGTCCAAAACTTAAAATTATTTATTCATAACTGTCAAAGGAGTTATGTTAAAAGAATACTTTGATATCTGGACCATGAGCAAATTTAGTTTAATAAAGAGACTTTTGTATCAATCAATAAGGCTACTGTTTACATACTTCGAGGAGGAACTAGGGGCTTCCCACTGGTTGCACACCAACCAACTGGGTGGATGTCAGACCCACAAACGTTGCACCAAAAGTCAAGACTTGAATCATTTTCAAAGCCTTCATATCTCAGCAGGGCATTGTAGCCTGAAAAGAAAGCAATCCCACTTAAAAAAATACCAAAATTAAACAAGACAATGAAGTATGCATTAATATTTCTTTACAAATCATGATGAATATTACATTGGTTTTCTAGACTATAACTTTTCATAGGATACTTTTCTATGGCACATTCCTGCATGTGATTAAAGCACCATTGGATTACTTTGATAAACGTGCATGTGCTACCATATAAGTCAATTTTAATTAAAATTCTTGAACTATAAACCTTTAGAAGTTATATGTAGGAGGATAAAATTAATTATCCACAATATCTGCTTTTCCATATCTTAGATCTGCGACCTTGAATTTTAAACTTTTTACCAAGACAAGTGATTTGTATAACGAGGCTACTTGCCAGCTGTTATACAATCTCCTATCTTCTCTGCACTGATCTTACTGTGCTCTGAGGCAATATTAAAAAAAACAAAACCAAACCCAAACCAAGAACAGAAATTCTCAAGCATCACTGCAGCCACAGTAACAGTGACAGCACTACAATATACAACCTATTGGCACAGCTCTGACAACCTGACCAGTGTCAACATTACACTAATCAAGTGATCACCAAGTTATTAGCTCCCTTCACACAGTTCTTTTGATTATTTTAATAATTCCAATTAAAATGTTTTTACCTGCTAATTTCACAATTCCAGCTATCCAGAAGACTTTGGTAGGTAGGCTGCAGTCAGTGTTTGGAACCTCCACTCGCACTCCTTCTGCAATATCACCCCAGCACGTCCCCATAGGTGCCTGTCATTTAAGGTTGGGGTTAAAAAGTCACCAGTTCACCACATGAAAATAGTTATTTTTTGTTATATCAGTGTTTTATGAGTGACTTAAAAAGACAAAACCATCAATATACAAATGACAAGCACATGTTTAGAAAACACTCTTTCCATAAGAACCTACTTTGGTTTTGACTTGAAGCTAATGTGTAATATTGTAATTGTATCCAATTATTGTGTTTTTACTGAAAAAACCTTATACAATTCCAAGTTTAAATATCTGTTAAGCAACAAGCACAAATTGTACATTTAAGTCAGCTTTATTCCACTATGTTTCAACGAGGTACAAACTACCAATTTCACTGAGAATGGTAAAATTCCTCTGCAGTTCTATTTGCAACAAAATTACTGTACTTTGAATTCACACCTATAGCACAGACATCAAAATCTTTAAATTCTGTAAATCAGAAGTGTGGCTGAAAAAAATGCCTAGAAGTTATTTCTTGGGTCTATTCTCATGATTTGTCATGGTGGGGTTTATCACCCACTGGTTCACATCCTCTCAGAGGAACAGGCTTTCACATCATCACCTGCAAGTGATCACTCCATCAAGCAAGCAAAAAGAACAGAAGGCTCTGAGTGGCACCTTTTTAATGAACACCAGAAGGAAACACACAGCAAGACCCCTCAGAGTCCTGCGTGAGGAATGTGTTAGTAACAAAAAGACAGACAAGCTTGATCAACTGCTAAGGATTTGTAGAAACTGGTGATAGAAATTACATTTAGTTTGCTATCTCAAGAAGAACATGTTTTTGAACAGGGCATCACGAAAAGACAATTGAAAATGGTATTGCAGAGATACCAGAAATGCACAGTGCTGAAGAATCTAAAACCTTAACAGTTACTCAACTGAAGTTTTATTGGTAACAAGATAGAAAACAACTCAGTCTGCATTAAACTTGAGACCATCAGTAGAAAGATTCACATCTGGGGTATTTTAAAACAACAGTCATACAAATTCTAAGGTGTTCTCAGAAAACGAATTGTTATCAGTTCAAAGATTATCCAGCTATTACAGGGACAACTGAAAGGATGCTCTGGCTCTGCAGACTGTGAGTAGACTGTTCTACACTGTGTCTCATTTACAAGCTCTTTGCAAACCCAGAGAACTTGACCACTCCGTGGGAACAGCTTCCAACTGCACAGAATTGTTGCTGAGAGCCACAAGTGAAGAAACCTGGCTTAATCCTGAATGATTGGAAATCACAGTATTGGAATTTTGCTGGCACTCAGAAATAGCAACTAGCAGCACTCAAAGCTAAAGTTATAAGGGAGACCCATCACTAGGACTGAGGGTAGGCATGCAAAACTAAAACTAATTTTAACTATTAAAGGAAGTGTAAGTTGTTGCAAGTATGCCAGTTTTTAGTCTTGAAGCCTGGTCTCTTCATGTTCTGCTATGTCCCATCTACACCAGTCTGGACCACAGAGTTCTTCTGCCAACTGGCAGAAAGACAGAAATATCCAACTCAAAAGATGATGGCTTATTTTCACACACAAAATATGCAGATACAACTTCTTAATCAATATGAATCCCATATTCACTATCATCTCTAAGTTGACACATGTAGGTTTTTGAATTCGATTGGGGAAATAAACTTCTCAAACTGCATGTTTTAGCAAATTTTGTTGCCTTGTATAGAGATACAGATGAGGCCAAACAAGCAAAAATAGCAGTGCTGAATAATTTCATAATCCAGCTGCAGTCAATTGAAATATATTTTACTGCCTGCTCATCTATTCAGTGGATTCAGAGAGAGAAGTATATCAGAACACTTCTCCTGACATCAACCCATAATGGGAATGTGACAAATTTTTATTTCTAGAACGTGGATTGGTATAGAGGGAAATAGCAGAAAGTTAAATTTGTCCTTGTCTGTGAAAATATTGGTTCTGCTAGTTCTCCTACACCAATCCATATGGCTCAGCCTTGTGAAGAAGGAAGCCATCCTGTGCAGCATCACTACTGAAATGCCAGACAACGTTACTGCCCTCAGGGATGGTTTACACACTGCACCATCTTGGCTTTTTTCACTCATTATGAATGTTCTTAAGGCAGGAAGACTGGATAAACCAGGGCTGTGACAGCCATCTGCCTTCATCTCTCCTCTGCCTCATTAATCAATCAAGGTTTGCACAGTGCTTTTCCAAACTCAAAAAGCACTATGGAAGTGTTAACTCTTATTTTTCTGCTGGCTGGAAGGTGACTCTGCAGTCTGGATTGGCATAGTGTGAACTAGCAGAACCATCATTTACAGGTAAGAACAAATTTACCTTTCAGACTCATGACGAAGAGATCCACTTCATGTCACTCCCAGGAAAGGAAGATGTGGTTCATGGCTTCCTGCTCCAGGAGATGACCTGGCAGGGCCTCTCTGTGAGCAGCAGATGCCTTCTCTGCAAGGTAAGGTGCAGTCAGGGAGGGCCTATTGGACAGGAGCATCTAAAGGCCAAGTATCCCCACATGCCCAGCTGAGCGAAGATCTCCTGGATTAAATAAGTGGCTTCTAAAGGTTATGGATGGCACCAACATTGCCATGATTTCAGACTTTGCCATTAAAATCCTGATTTAATTTAAAGTGATGCTACCAGTTCCTGAAGTGCAAGGAGTGCTGAAACCTCGTGTGTGAGCAGCGCCCCAACAACAGGTAATGCCAGAGGAGACAATGTGCAAAAGGGCTTAAACCACAAAGTTCAAAGCAAAGCACTGCCACCCAGTGCAACATCCTGGAAATGCTCCCTTAAATTGGATTCATTTTAATAACATGAGAAACAAAGAGAATGAAAATCTTTTGGCTCAGAATAAAATTCACCTGGAAGAAAGAACTCCGGGAAATGTGCACCTCACTAGCAACAGAGTGGAAAAAATAATTACTCTTAATTGTGCATTAGGTTGTACATTAAGTAATACTGAGAAAGAACTCAAAGCACTGTAATTGCTTTCAGTTCCAGGAATGGTTTGGGCTAATAAAAGTAAATACAGAAAAGGGTAAAAAATGTTTAGAGGAGAAAGAAGCTGGAATGCAGGTCAGCAATGAGCTTGCAACACGTGACTAAGCTATAACACAATGTTAAAAATATTAAGAGTTTTTCTCCTTGCATCAGCTACTGCTGAGTGACTGATTAAGGCAATTTGACTAAAAAAGCAGCTGCAAAGGTGCACAAATGGCAATTGTGGCTTTGTCACAGGTTTCCTACATGACAAACCAAAGCAGTTCTCTACTTCAGTTTACTGAACTATAAGGTTGGCATGGTCATACTATTGCTACTGAATTTCTTCATTAGTGTTACTCAACACTGATGTCTGGAATAAAGGTAAAAGGGAAGCACAAAACCCACATCAAAATACTTTAAAATTAATTCTTCTCATGAAGAGAAAGAGCTAGAGAGAACTTACAAGATATAGATGTTTGAATTCTAAATTGTAACTGTTCTAAATTGAAGAGGAAACAATCCCCCAGGGAAAAAAAACCAAACCAAAACATCAATGTGGGAAATCTACATCAGAGCTGAGATACTGAGATACAGGTTATGAAAAAAAAATAATCAATAAGCCAAATCTCACAGCTCATAATTCCCCTAAATTGCCTTTAATATTGTTCCCTATCATATATTCATACAGATACATCAGTATAACCAGTAAATTCATTATATTTTATTGAATAACAAATTAAGGGTAGATATGTCATGATTTAACTGTCAACTGAAATCTTTGGTTTTGAACAGAATAAGCTTTTATATTCCATCACATACACACAATATGTGCATGGAGTCCATAATGTGGATGGTAAACAAACAAACAGTACAAACTTCTACAAATCAGAACAACAGTACACAGAAAACAGCAATAATCTTTCCAGAGAGACAAAAAGAGTATTGTTTAACTATCGGTGGAAAGTGGGACAGAGAGAAGGATCTACCAAGACAACACTAACAGATTCTGGCTGTTATTTTTCAAAGGAATAATTACAGTAAAGTTAAATGCAAATCACACCCTTTTAACACTAACTCACATCCACCAAAGAAGTGGAAATCTCCAAAGCAAATTGTAGGATTTGCATTTTACTTGTATAAAAAAAGGAAAATGGGGACAGAAAAAGAACCTGCAGGTTTAGTGGCACTGGTGCCACGGAGTTTGTGAAAACTTTCAAGGTAAAATGTGAACATTGGTGTGGTATTGGTTTATGTTATTGGTTCATCATTCAGCTTCATGAAGGAAGCAGTAAGAAATGGAGATAAAACTCCTTTTAATGTAGAATGTTGCAGCATAATTTACAAGTGACCTGACTATGGTAGCTACTGAAGGTGCCAAAAGCAGAGCCCACGTTATCAATGGACACGGACTTATGAAATTACTTCAACATGTACATAACTGTGGAAGCAAAATGCAAACATGCTGACTTGAGCACTTGGAATTTGATACAAATTCCCAAAGTTATACTAAGGCAAGGCTCTGTTCTGGGCAATAGTTAAGGCCTCTGAGCATAAAGGGTGCTATTCACGAAGTGCCAACTGCCAGGAGCCCTCAACTCCTACTGATTTATGAGCTGACAGGGCTCAGCATGAATTCCAGAGCTGGATAGAAAATATGTCTCTCTCCTCTCTCATGGACAACTTCTATGAAACAAAATGTTTGTTTTGATTGCAGCTTTCATCATATAATTTTGAGCAAAACAAAAATTTTGTAAGCTGGAACACTTCGACTTCCCAAATAAAAAAAAAAAAAAATATGCTGAGAAAACATTTTCTGTCAGAAAGTTTTTACTTAAGAGACAGAAAGTACTGACAATACTTTAAACAAGGGCTAATTACTGGAATTCAACAAACACATTAAAGACAGATGGTGCTAAATATTTTCCTCATCCCCTAATTTCCTCAGTCATTACAGAACGTATTTTTGTTTGGAATTGTTGGAACTCTAATACAAAGAAAACCAACCTTTTTAATTTCAGATTTCTAAAAAGCCTTAATTTTCTTGTATTTCTACATTATCTGGAAGCACAAGTGACAGGGAGAATCTGACTAAAAACTAAGAAAAAAAAAAAATCCCAAATCTAAATATGTAACCAAAAGATCAGTCCACACAATGGAGCAGGCCTGACTTAATCTAAAAAGCCTTTTGTAACTTTTTCTAGTATAGCATGACTTGGTTGGTTTGTTACTCTGCAGTACATTGGATGTCTTTGTGCCTTGAACGTGAGAAAAATAACTCCACAAGTGTTTAAGAGCCCTCCTTTTACTTTTTGTTTATGAGAGTATATATGATTAAAGTAATAATAGGGTTCAGAACGGTTTTAAAGGGCGGATAAAAATATATCTATCTAGAAAACAGTCACACTAATACAGTTTATAATACAGGTTTCTAAGATCACAAAACATATTTGGATGTGAACGTTTTGCAAAGATGAATCCAAGGATTCCCATGGACTCACCCTCTCATGCAACACACACACAAGGAAAGCACATATTGAGAAATACTTACGTGTTTAAAGCAGGTAACAGGAGCTGCTGTAAAGCTATTGCTATTGATGTAGTTACCCCAGCTGAAACCTTCCACGGGGACAGCTGCTAAGAGAAAGTTATTTTATTTAGGAAGCTGCTAATGAGTCACAAATCTTTTATTATTTTTGCCTCAGCTCTGTTTATTTGCTGTTACCTGCTTTCGTCTTTGCCTGGTTTTGTAGAGTTGCCTGGTACTGAGCATATGCTGCTAATTTAGCCACCAAGGGCTGTTTTTGTAGAACTTTAGCCTTCTTTGTTGGAGGTTTACCCTAAAACAACAAAAAAAAGCTAAGTAAATATCGTCTTTCTAAACTCCCATCAGGAAATTTCCACAGGTCTGTAGCACATCTCTGGTAGATTTAACTAAAAATCAGAACACCACAGAATAGAAGTTGACTAAGTACCACAAAACTACACGTAATATAAAATAGATTTAAAAACCAGTGGCAAAGAATGTCCAAAAGATGACTTTTGTACTAGTATTCCAACTTGAACAGCTTTATAGGTTCATTGTTGTTTACCTGAAAAAAAGATATCTTTTAAAAGCAGGTCAAAAGGAAGAACTTTTAATGTAATTTATACCAATGTTATTTCTTGGCATTTGTTGCAATGAATTTGAGATAGGATACAATGATACTTCTTGACATTTCTGTATCTTTTCTTGAATGTTACAAATATGCCTTGATGGTTATTTGATTAATATTTTAAGTGAACAGACAAGAGATTTTGCAGATCTATATAGTTAAGAAATCCCTTAAAACTGAAGCATAATGCTAAAAAAAAATCCCTTTATGCTCTCTAAAGCAAGAAAGTATTTTCACAGAATCACAGAATATGCTGAGTTGGAAGGGACCCATAAGGATCATGGAGTCCAACTCCTGGCCCTGCACAGGACCATCCCCAAGAGTCACACCATGTGCCCCAGACTATTGTCTAAACACCTCTTGAACTCTGTCAGGCTTGGTGCTGTGACGACTTCTCTGGGGAGCCTGTTCCATTTTGGGTATGAGATGCATGGAATTCCAAATCACTACACAGGCAGACTGAAGTTTTCTTCTGAACTTTCTCTTGCAGAAGAGCTACTCCAGGAGAAATGAATTAAAGAGTGACTATTCTCTATGATTTTTTAATTAATTTTGATAAGGACAATTTTCACCAAACAACACCGCTGAACAAAGTGATTTGCTCATTACCCACACAGTTGAAGCTTAAAACTGCGGCTTTAACTTTTGTGGAAATTTTCATCATTTAGGAAACTTATCTTCAAACATGCAGCAAGCTCTACAAACACACACATTTCACAAGCACAGACTACAGTAAGGATGTAAAGAAAACGGGGTCTGTACCGCTACCTGAAGCCTGGCCAGAATGCTGGCCTTCTTGGAGTTGGAGGAGTAGCTTCTGGAGCAGGACACGCTGCAGAAGCGCTTTGTTTTAGAGTAAAAAGCGTCACGGACACCAACCATCCCACACATCTCACATGTGGCTGATCAGGAGAGAAAAACACCAGTGTTAGGAGTGTAACTAAAACCTCAGTAAAAATTCAGAGCAAAGGCAACAGAATGAAGGTCCTGGTGGTGACACAACTCAACAGTTTCAGAGGGTTTGGCCCCGAAAGGAATTGCATAGAAAAAGAATTTAAAACTTTAGCCACCACCACTCGTGTCAGTGAAACAAGAGGAACCTCAGGTTCACTGGTGAAATGGTGCCTCCCTTCTGCTCCCTATTAATTTTACCCCTGGTAGAAGTGACTGGTCCAGCTAAATCAGCTAACGCAGCTTTCTGTGTTTTTGTGGTTCTCAAGGAAACATCTGCTTTGAATCTGGGCCTGTCAAGCCTCATTTCCTCTAAATATTTAATATGTCCAACATGAAATAAAACCAGATCTCTTTTCTGATTCACAAATTAGTATATTCAAAGTACCCCAGCCCACCAATGTTCCCTTCTGGCTGGAATCACAGGCTTTAGAGGTGGACAGCTGTGGTCCACCAAGTTGTTCCATGATGAGTAAGACTGAGACCAACTCATGCCAGTGAGACAACACCAAAATTCTACTAATCTAGAGAGCTCTACTAATCAGTGATGATTTTGGATAAAATATTTTTCCCCAGTAATAAAAGAAACCTCTCCTTTTAAATTTATTTTCCCAGTATACTTTAGCTCACAGCTAGTGGGGAGGGAACAGGTATACACTGACAGGCTTTATACAGTAGCAATAATGAAGTTTTCCTACTATAGGAAGAAATATATTTAATATATTGTATATACAACATAAAGGGCAGAGAGAAGGCATGCCCTGGCATAGAGAGAACACACTGACTTTCCTCAAAGCTCAAAGAATAAAAATACTACACATGAGAACATACACATGCATGTGCAGATATACACAACACACATTTGATGGGAGGTCAGATGTTCCCATACTACTTCTTTCCAGTCAACAGGATTCAAAACCTATCTTATTTCAATCTAGCAAAACCCAAACAATTCCTCCCCTCCCAAAACTAACAAACCCCAGCCCTTTCAGCTGTTTTAGTCTCTTTTCAGTTGGGACCAATATTTGGGACTGGACCCTCACAACTCACATTAGAGTCTAAAAAAACATCACTATGTAACTCTTTGTACTCATGCAACACTTACTTACCCATGCCAGATTTGCCATCTGGATAAGTATAAACTTGCCCATTGTTCTTGATAATTGGGAGACTGGATGGCAAAGGAGCAACCTCCTCCTCACTCTCATCTGAACTGGAGCTGCTGCTGGTGTCCTCACTACAACTATCATAACCGTCAAACATCCCGAACGAGTCTCGGCGTTTCCTCTCCACTCGTGAAGTATGTTCTGTCTAGAAATTAAAAACAACCAAACAACAAAACCACCACAGAATAGCAGGACATTCTCAATGCAACCATTTCAAAGTCAAGCTTAAAGTGTTTCAAAGGTCAGTCTTTAAAAGCAGATGTTCAAGGAACTGCTCAATCAGTACAGACATGAGCCATGTACTGCCAATTAAATGAGCACTATTATAATCTAAACTGGCCAATTTCTGGTATTGTGATATACAGGAAGAAAAATCTATCTCCCAATCCACTCAGAATACACAGTAGCCATCCATACATTTCTCTTCCTTAGTATCTTCAGAGTTCATTAAACCTGATGTGCTGAATACTGACAAGCCACACGGATCTTATATGCAAATGAGCACATTCCAGATGGCTACAGCCAATCCCACTAAAACTCATTCATTTGAGAAGGCTGGGCAGAGAAAAGGCAGTTCAACCAAGAGGGCACTTATATCACAGGAACAGGAATGAGGGGATCTCTGCTCTCATTGGCTTGGGGGGTTATCCATAAATCACTGTGTCTCCCGTGTGGAACAGGAACACCTCTGCACCTCACAGGGATGTTCTGGGGATTAATACATTAACGATTATGAAGAGCTCAGTTACTATGGCAATGGGGTCTGTACAAATGCTGAAAGATAGAAAGGTGACTAATTTGCCACTGTCATACACAAAAAACTTGTTACATAATAGTTTTTTCTATAACCAAAAAACCTAAAGTCAGATAAAAACATAAGTTCTTGATGAATGCATGACAGTTAAGCAATTTCCAAAGACACTAAAGAAGAATTAGATTAATTGGTATATTTTTTCTGAGGCACATCCAACACATGCATTTTGATAGTGACGATTTTCACTTTATTAATATCTTACACAGTTCTGCTGAAACAAGGCTACTGTTACATGAGCTCCCCTTATTAAGCTGAGAAAAATATTTTTAAAATTTCAAAGTATTTCCATAATCCTTAATAGTATCTACTAAGTTTGAAAGGTAATAACAGATAAAGAGAAAACAAAGAAAAATTCTACAATAGAAGCACAAGTTAGGAGAATGAAGTACAGCCAAGAAAACAAGGAAAATTAAGAAAGCCATTGCCTCTTTCTCTTCTAAGAGTTAATTTTATTTAAAAGTCAATGTAGACAGAAAAATAATATGTGATTGGGCTTTTCCTTCTTAAATTGCATTTGGGTTCATAGCTTTAAGATTTCATCACAGTAATTCCCCAAATCCCTTTCCTAGAGAGTATATGCTGAACATCTTTATTGTTGGATCTCCTCTGAGCCTTTTTCTGCCATGCTATCCCTTTATTATAATACTCTCTATTCTCCTTTGCAATCTGAATAAATCCTATTATGGAAGGATTTCCTAATAGTTAAAAGGGAAAACTGATTTCCACACTGACCCAATGTTAGCATTCCATTATGAAAAAAAAATTTCCCCCCAAAACCCAGTTATGCAATAAGGCAAACACATTTAACACACTTAAATAGCTCTGAAACAAAACAACAAAAAAGGTCAGTGTGATGTTAGTTACGCACATATTCCTCAATTTGATATTAAAACCAATCAAAACCTAGGGTAGGGCATAACCTGACAACTCCCTGGGGGCACTGGCCATGGTACCCTGGGCATTATTAGAGGAAACACTGAGTCATGGCAGGCAAAGCCCAGCCCTGACCTGCACTGGCAGCAGTGTCACCTGTCCCATCTCCCCTGTGCCACCAGCCACCAACAAGCACCACCAGTGACTTGTTTGTGAGTGCACGTGTGTGCAGCTCAAGACAGGAGTTGAGCACAACGTTGCCATGGATACAGGATCCTGTGAACACTGCCAGGAATTTTCAGATCAGAAGATGAAAACTAGTCCTCTTCCTCGAGGTTTCATGAACTCCTGAATATCTCTCAATATCTAAGTTCCCCTGACCACAGCCTCTGCTAATAAAATGTAATTCCACATGAACCATTCACAACAGCACTACCAGAACATCAGGATGCCTAGAAGGTTTTATGGATCGATGCTAGTGGTGCTTCAGAGCACAGTGAAGGATCTCCTCCTTCATTCCCTCATCCTCCCCAAATCAGCTGATCTGATTTCACCAGGAGATTAGGGCCTCATCCCACACACCAAGGTAATTCTATGGCTTCAGCCCTTTATTGGAGGCTGCAGTACAAGGCAGTCTCAGGGACATCCCTTTCCCATTCCAGACTGGAGAACTCTGCACCCACAGGGCAGTGGCTTTGCTAGCAGAGGTCTGAAACACTCTCTCAGCTCAGAGGGAATTAAAGTGCAGCCCATTCCCAGTCCCTCCAACTCCCAATGCTACAGTAGAGACCCTCTACAGCCAGCTCTGCTCCCACTGCAAGGGAAGGGGGAAGAAGGGTTGGGAAGCTGGGGGTGAGGTGAGGGACCAGAAACAGGCTGAAGGCAGGGCCAAGGTGACAATCACAGACACCACAACTGCACTTGGCTCTTTTTGTTCTTCTTTTGCACCACATCCATTTAGAACCTCGATGTTACTGCTAAGCCCTTTTGCCAAAAAAATCCACAGATGAGAAGGAAAACATTTTCTCTGTCTAAATGGAAAGTTGGGCCCTGTACTAAGAAAATCATTCTTCAGCATTATACAAGTTCCTAAGTAGCAATCATCAAGATTTCAGTTTACACTACACTGCCAAAACAAGTCGCACATCACCTTCCCATTTTCCTAATATTTGGCCAAATTGTTCCAATTCAAAATTTTTGTAACTCAGATTTGCAATTCAAAAAGGCAGCTTTGCTTACTGTTTAAAAATAATACTGTACTCTATTATAAAACATTTCTATCTAAGTTTTTGCCAAAGAATGACCATGTGTGCCAGATAATTTATGTAGGACATTCTTAATGATAATTTATAGTTATTGTCTGGATTGCAATTCTGGAGAAACCACTCAAAATGTGTTTCATGAGACTCAGAAAAGGTAGAGTTTGCAAGAAAAAAAAATACCAATTACTTTGTGCACAAAAGTAGGTGGAAGTTAGGGAAGATGATATGCAAATACCTATGCTGGAATTTTCCTAGAGAAGATCAAAACATTTCTATTTTGATAATAAACACCACTAAGGTTCTTTTTAACCCATGTTAAAACACAGCATTTGTAGAAATAAGTGAAAAACATGTGGAAGCTTCTATAACCCTTCCTGCAGAACTTGGATGGACCCTGCAAAAGAATAGGAACTCTGACACCTGAAACTGAGAAGAGATGGGGTATCAACTGAATTCAAAAGTCAAAACCACATCCTTAAAAGAAAGAACAATTTATGCCTCAAACAGAATTATAACCAAGATAAAGCAGCTGCTTTGGTACAGCAGCAGCCTGCAATTCCTCCTGAGTTCTTGTTGACTGGTTCCATCTTTCTCTTTTGAACACTAAGTATAAAATTTGCCCATTCCTGATTTTGTAGGGCCTCAATCTCTACCACCGACAGCTCCTGGAGTGCTGGTGGTCTCTAAATACCCTGTGGTGGTGAACCTCATCAGATCCCAGGAACTTGGAACCATCTATCTCATGTACACATTCTCTGCTCCTTTGCTGTCACTCCTATCTTCAAAAAGGGCAAAAGGAGGACGCAGGAAATGACAGACCAAGGGGCCTCATCTCAGTCCCTGGGAAGGTGAAGGAACAAGCAATGCTGGAAGTCATTTCTAGGCACATGAAGGACAAGTAATTCTAAGTTCTTGTGTGCCTGAAGCAGCACCTCACCGTGGCAGCTGCAAAACACAGGCAAGCAAACAAAAACCATCCAAAATCAATGACAAACCAGTTTCTTACTCTTCAAAACTGGACTTAGGACTAAAAATCAGGTTGAGGAGGTTTCTTTTCCTCAAAACAGAATCGGATCAGTGTTGTTCACCTTCGAACAAATGTGGGAACATATTCCTGCCTATCCACAGGAACTGCTTGGAGCAGGAGCCTGGCTTGCTATAAAACAGAACCTTGTGGCGGGTTAATGCCAAAAGAGGAGTAGCTGGAGAGACTCCACCACTAAATAGAGTCGAGCTGTACATTAAGTAGAAGCAACACACAAAGAAAAGAACGAGCCAAACTTTGAAGCACCCTGGCTAAGGCTGATTTTCCTAATAAGATTACTGGTTCCTCAACAGGGAAGGGTTTCAGTCAGAGCAACATCAAACCTGGGGTGAGCAGGACTATTTGCTCGGGGGGTTTCTTGCATTCTTTTCTTTATTGAAGGGAGGGGTGGAGAAAGGAGCTCTTAAGAACTGCTTTCTTATTCTGCCCAACTTCCCATTTTCCTGTTCTTCCTCTCCTCCCTGTGAATACTTGGCAACAGAGTATTTTTAAGAAATACTCTTAATTAACCATTACATAAGGCAAATGGTATGATAAAAGAATATAGTTAAGGAAACCGGTTTCCCTGAAAGCAGGAAGGCAACTCTAAACAAAAATGAAAATAACTAGTTTTTCACTCTCTTAACACATAATTTATATATATACACACACATTAAATTTGATCAGCACATTATAGCATATGTTCTTTGAGCACAATAACTACTCTTACAGCATAAAAAACTGGTCACAAAGGGTAAACAATGCACGGCCAAAACACAAAACTATTTAAGGTTAATTAGACATCAAACACTTACTCAGGAAATGGCTTTAGTGACTTGATGAAGATAATTTGCTCAATTATTGGTAACATTTATGAGAAAGCATTTTGAGGGTGAAAACTTGCAACAAAAATACCCAGTTATTATGTAACCAAACCTCTTGCCCCCAGGTAAGTGTACCTGGCCACAGGATAATCCCAAACAGTCACAGAAAGGTTTCAAACCACTCCAAATGGTTGCTGTTACTATTGAATCAAGCTGGGGCACGAATTCAGAATGGCAGCAATTTGGACCTTTAAGTACAAGAGTTGTAGCTTAAGGAAGGCCCACCAGCACCTAAGCAGAGGGATCACTTCCTATATTCAGCTCCAACCCCCCAAAACATGACAGAATTATGGACAGATGGTATCTGAGGCCAAGGTCAACACTGAGGTCACCACAACCTTCAAGCCAAGGGGCTGTGATAAGACAGATTCACTTTAATCACATATCCTTAACAGATCCAAGTGTATTTCCAAGCTAGTCTTAAAATTGATGCACAGCTTTTGTTTTCAAAAGTCTATTATGTTTTATGCTACAAGCTCAGTTTTGGATGTTGGCATTAAAGAAACAAGACGATGGAACTAATTTATTACAACTCTTCTGAATGTAAGCTGGCCAAAATAATTAACAGTAGAATCCCAGTTTGTCCCTGTGGAACTGAAGCCTAATTGTGCCTCAGAACATGACAAAAAATAGAAAATTCAAACATGGTACCAATTTAAAGAAAACACACTTTCAGCTTTCATTTAAAACAAACAAACAAAAACCCCCAAAGCTAAACATCTTGGGATTCCTGGAAATCAGAACCAACCAAACTTACTTTTTTTATATAAGCAACTCACCTCTATCTGGAAATGTGCCTTCCACTCTTATTATAAGTAAAATCTCTGCTGGAAAATTACAGAAATGTTTTTTCCTGTCTCTTCATTTGCTATGTATGACAGCATTTTGTCTGAAGCCAGTTTCTGCTGTTTGCCAATGGTTTTGTCCATAGCCTCTTCCCCAGGGGGTTTCACACAAGAGGGGAGACTCTTTCATAAAAAAATATATCAAATTAGCAGGGAATTTTGGAGGGGGGTGTGATGATTAATATGTGAAATATCTGAGTTTCGAGAAAACTGAAAATTTGTTACAAACTCCATTATGTTTCTACAAAGCCCTTACAGGAATATCTGGAAGAGGCAAATACTTCACTTTAAACACTGTGTTACCATTAAAAAACAGAACAACAAACAAAACAACAAATTTAAATGTAAACCCTCCCAAAAAACACCACCAACCCAAAACTTAAAGTCTTCAACATCTGAACTCATTCCACGTGCTCAGAGCCAGATTGAGCAAATGATCCCCCATGCCCAGAGTGTACCCACTTACCTGGGAAATGCAGGAATGCAGAAGTGGTTTTGCAGAAGGTACCAAAAGCCTTGCAAAATTAAATCAAATTTTAGAAGGTGAGAGAAACAAAATCCAATGAGAGGGAGCTTCTCTGCATGTTTTCACTGCTACCAGAGGCACCTCACTCTTTGGGGAACAACGAAGAGAATTCTGACTTCCAGCCTAAAATCCTTCTGCATGTTGCACAAGCCCACACGCCTTCTCAAGAACAACTCCTAAACTACTCCTGTGGCATAAAAAGTAACTTCCACATAGGAGAGAATATACCTCTGCATGGTTCCCTACAGCCTGCATTACACACTTCCTCAAAACTATCCCTAAACAGAAGCAATGAGTAAAGGCTAATCTATCAAGTTCTATTGCCTTTCTAAAGGCAATAAAAGGAATATATTGTTTTAGTTCCCACTTAATGTTCCAGATTAGACTCTCTCACAGCCTTCTTATTCCATTCCTTACAAGTCAAAATCAAACTGTTAAATATAATAAATAAGTAAATGAATGTTCTCAAACTTGTAAAATAATTTTAATATAAAATACAGGAGCTTGCCCTGCAGCTTTTAGTTTTAACTGGGGTTAGATGTGAAAAATCAAAAGGGTTGCCACCCACATTTTAATAGGTATTTTAAAATAAATTACTTTTGCACGCACAGGAGTTTTTACCACAATCAGCGTACACTTTGTGGCAGGACTTTTAAGTTTTAAAGCCACACTGGGGCAGAAATTGAGAAATTTCTAAATTTTAAACATTTAAAACATTTCCAACAACAGCCTGAAAGTGAAACTGGTTTCACGGGTTTAGTGCTGCTCACAAAGAGAACAAAAGTCACAATATCAGCGGTCATAAAAATCGCAGGGACTGGGGAAGTGGCTACAAAGAATCCAAAACTTCTGAAGCGCTGATATTAAAGAAAAGTGCACAGCATTTAAAACGAGCCTAAGAAAACTAAACTCTGAATTAAGCTGGGAGTACACGAGGAAGTTGTGGAGCAGGAGAGGATCGAGGGCTAGAACTTTTCTCCGCGGCAGGAGGAGGGAGAGGGGAGGAAAGGACAAAACCCGGCCACAACAAAGGGGTCCCGCCGAGCCGCCCCCACGTGCCCCGGTCGGACCCGGACCCTGCCCCCCGGGACCCTCCGCCGGGGGCTCCCGGCCCCGAGCAGCGCCCCGGGGAGCTCCGGGGCGGGCACACACCCCCAGCCCCGGGGGCCGCCCCCGAACAGCCTGGAGGAGCCCCCGGCTCCCTCCCACGCCCCGCGGGGCCGCCCTCTCAGCACGAACAGCGGAGATCTCTCCCCCCCCTCAGGCCGCTCCCCCTCTCGGGCGCGGGGGGTCCCGCGGGGGCCGCTCCTCCCGCACTCACCAGCAGCTCCTTTGTGCTTTCCATCAGGCCCTCATGGGCAGGAGCCGCCCGCTGGCTGTGCCCGCTGCCCCCGTGGGGGCTGTGCCGCTGGGGCGGCCCGCGGCGGGGGCCGTGCCCGGCGGGGCAGGGCGGGGCGGGGGCGGCCCGGGCGGTTCGGCCGCTCCGAGAGCCGCGGACCGACCGGGACCGACGGCGGCCGCCGGGACATCAACAACACGAGCGCGCGGCTGCGCAGGCGCGGACACGCCCCCCACGGGCTCGGGCAGCGCGGGGCGGACCCAGGGCCGTGCCCCCCCCCGCCTCCCTGCGGGCTGAACCATTCGCAACATGGGGGGGGGCTACGCGCCACGGCTGGGGTGAGGCGGTAAGAGCGGCCGCCCCCGCTGGTGGGTAGCAAGGCGAGCGAGGAGATGGCTTGGCGAGGTCAGTGAGGGCTCGCTGAGGAGCGTGTGCTGGGTGGGGCTGAGCGTTGGGGAACTCCCTTTCCCCCGCGGGGGCGCAATGGAGCGGCCCGGCCGCGGCCGCGTCACGTGGAGCGCGGGGTGGGCGGGGGGGGTGGGGGAGAATGGAAGGCAAAGAAAGGAGGTCACGTGATGGCGGCTGGCGAGGGAAGGGGCGGTGCTTGAATCACGTGGGGAGGGGCGGGGCGGCGGGCCACCCTATCGCGGGTGAGGGGTGGGGCCATGCGAGGGACACACGTGACAGAGGCGCACGTGTTCCGGTTCCGGGTCCGGGCAGCGATGAGGGGCCCGGCGGCGGGGACGGAGCGGAGAGCCACGAAAATGAAGAAACCGTCCAAAATAAAGGCGGTGAAAAAAGCGAGGGAAGCGTCTCAAGCGGGAAAAGCGCCGAAAATGGCGAAAACGAAGACTCCGAAGCGGGCAGCAGCCGTGGCGAATCAGGCAGCGGCGGAGGCGGCGTGGCGCGCCCGGCACCTGAGGGATGTGAGCCACGCGTCGGGCGCCGAGCGGGAGCTGGAGGAGCTGGTGTTCGGTGACAGCCTCAAAGTGGAGGAGGACGAGCTGCTGCAGCGCCTGGGCGGGCCCCCGAGGGTACGGCCCTGCCCTGCCCCAACCCGCGGGGCGTCCGTACCTCCTCCCTCCCCTCCTGCCCCCCGCCCGTGCTCACTTGGCCCCGTTTGTTTGTTTTCAGGTTGCTGCCACAGAGGGGAAAAGTCTCCAAGCAGACTCCAGCGATTCCGAGGTAGAAAATGAAGCGAAAGGCGACTTGTTGCCCAGAAAGCCGGCCTGGGTGGATGAGGATGATGAAGCCGAGGAAAAGTGAGTCCGGGTTTGCAGGTGGGAGCTACGTATCAAACCTGTAAACTTAACTTGACTGTAAGTGACTGTGGTTTGAATGATCTTTGTGTTCTCTGTGTGTTTCCCCCCTCTCTAGTGTTGACATGACCCATAAATACAGGAAGGATTTAATGAAAAGCGATGCTGAGAAGACACTTACTAAGAAAAAATTAAAAAGAAGACTTGAGGAACAGTGAGTTTCGTTACTGTTTTTGTGGCTGACTTTATTGAGGTGACATCATTGATCTCCTGAATGCAGATAAATATCTCCCAAGGCGGGTGTCAGAGGATGGTGCCAGACTCTTGTCCGTGGGGCTCAGTGACAGGACAAGGAGCAATGGCCATAAACCAAAACACAAGAAGTTCCACCTCAGCATGAGGAAGAACTTGTTTCCATGGAGGGTGGCAGAGCCCTGGAACAGCTGCCTAGGGAGGGTGTGGAGTCTCCTACACTGGAGACATTCCAAACCCATCTGAACACATTCCTGTGTCACCTGCTCCAGGTGACCCTGCCCTGGCAGGGGGTTGGACTGGATGATGTCCAGAGGTCCCTTGCAATCTGAGCTATTCTGGGATTATATGAGATAAAATACATTTATGTGACATTTATGTAAATGTGCATTAGCATTGCCTGGACTAATTTCTTTAATACTTGTTTTATTGGAACTGCACAAATTAATTTGTCTTCTTGGGAGTTACACCAGAAACTGTGAAATCTTAAAAAATCTAAAAAACTTGCATAGTGTTCTAAGCATGACTATTCCTGTAAAATTGTGATGGTGTATCTTCTAAGTGCTTAACTCATAGAGGGAAATTACTTTCTCACGGAAGTTATTTTTTTCTCTCTTCCCCCTTCTCTTTCAAGGTTTCAGCAAGCCATGGGAGGAGTTCCTGCCTGGGCTAATTTAGAAAACAGGAAGAAATCCAAAAGGACTTCAAGTGATAGTAAATAATTCTATTCCTATTCTAATAAGTGCTTCTGTGATTCTTTGTTCAACTTCTTAAAAAATAATTATTTCTGATGTTTTCTTAGTTTGAGTAGTGTGATAATATGGTGGATAAGTCACCTTTATTCCTTCCTTCACTGTACTTTGATTTAATTTGTTTTTGTAAGGAACTTGTAGGTTTTGATGTGGATATTTGTGCAATGACTGTTTCCATGTGCTTTGGTTTCATGAGGTGAGAGTGATGAAGATGATGATCTTCTACGCAGGACTGGCAATTTCATAACGAGCTCAGAGTCCCTGCCAAGAGGAATTTTGAAGGTAAAGATAAGCCTTATCTTTCCACTTCAGTTTGACCCACACTTTGATTGTTTTTGCTGTGTAAAATCAGTGATTATGTGAATTTCTTGTTTCTGTAACTAGAAGCTCTAAAGGGTAAGCGTTGGACAAATTGAATATTTCACATGAAAGCATGAAGCAATAAATTGAGGTGTATTTTTTGAAATAAGGATTTTTATGTACTCTGAAGTAGCATCTCGTAGTAGCATTTTAATTTAGGATTTAATTTTAATTTAGGATTTGAATTTAATAGGGAGGTTGGAATTCTCCCACAGCTTTAAGGTACTGGCATGGTCTTTGAGAAGTGACAGCCTTAAGCGAGTGTTTCTTCTACTGTCTCTTCTACAGCTGTTTCAGATGGGTCAGAATGCAGCTAGATTTACTCAGAGGGATAATTTCAAAGGCAGTAGAAAGGCTGGTGGGTTCAGCCTGTGTTTGCATCACTGCATTGAAGCAACTCCCTGAACTGGCTCCTTGTGCTCTGCTTATGTCAGGCTTCCTAAAAGTTCATCATAGGGGCTGAGGTCTTGCTCTTGTAGCATAAAGTGTAATTAAATTGCTTTTTCATCAGCATTAAGTGTTTGGATTTTTTTTTAGCCCGTTTGATCTGTGTTTTAGATGAGCACCTGCCTGCCTGCAAACCAGGAACGCTTTGCCAATGGAAAACTGGTGACGGTGCAGTTCCATCCCTCAGCCCAGGTGGTCATGACTGCGGGACATGACCGGTCTGTGTCGCTCTTCCAGGTGAAGAATTCCAGCCTATTCTGTGCAAATGGGCACTAATACAGAACCCTTTTTTTTTTTTTTTATAACCTGGACTGACAGACTTTGTTTTCCCTCTTCCTGTGCACACAGAGTTGTAATGTCTGTGGTTAAGATGGAAATTCTTTGGTTAAAGGTGCCTTGGAAGACGTTTCCATCTGTGACTGCATATCAAGCATGTACAGAGTACAGGCAAACTTAGTTGTATTAGAGTTTTTGGTTGAAGATTTGTTTTTAAAAACATTTGGGTTTAAGGTTTGCAGTGATTTGGACTGATGAGGTTTTCTGTTCATAAGCCTGTGATGTGGGGAGCAGTCCACTTTCATTTAAAACTCTAATATCGCTGTGAAATCATGTTGGGAATGGAGAGGCTGGACTGCAGCAGGAAGAGGTTCATCCTGGGACACTGCCCTGCTCCTCTGAAAACTAAGATCATAACTCCCTTTAGGAAGTTTCAGCATGGCCCAGTATCAGTGGAATGGTCAGGCACAAGTGGAATTTGATAGTCCCAGAAGGCTGCAGGAAAAAAAAAAGAACAATTCAAAGCAAATGTTTCCATTTAGAAAAAGCACAATAGTAGTGATGATTTGAACAAAGCATGGGCAAGACAGGGAAGGGCATGTGGTGTGAAGTGTATCCAGGAAGGCTGGGAATGCCTGTTATATAGAGTGAGGAGCCAAGAGCTGGGTTATTTGTGGAAGAGAGGAAGAGTTTAATGCTTCAGGGTGGTTTACCTCTTACTTGTACTGGGTACTTGATATGTTTTTTTCTATTTAAAAGTATTTGGTATGTTCCTCAATATGATAACCTGGCTTGTTATTTTCTTTTTTGAAGGTGGATGGTATAAGGAATCCAAAAATACAGAGCATCTATTTAGAGAGTTTTCCAATTTATAAGGCTCGTTTCAGTGTTGATGGAGAACAAGTTATAGCCACTGGTACTCACCACAGCATGTTCTTTGTGTATGACATGATGGCTGGAAATATTATTCCTATACCCAAAGTCCGAGGTAGGTTTTTCCATGCTGTAAGTGTCTGGCTGTAGTTGAATCTGTCCCAAATAGAGATGGCACATGAATTTGCTTTAAAAGGAAGTGCAGTGAATTGTTGGAGGTTATATTTTTAACTTGTCTTCAGGGAACAAGTCCCTTTAGTTTTAGTTTTTCTGGGGTATTAAACATTAATTGTCACACATAAGCGAGGTTGAGTTTAGCTTTGCTGTGACAGTGAATTACAGCAGTGAAAAGCTGAAGTGGAGTCAGGTCTTACTCATATTCATCACACCTCTGAATGTTGAGGCAAAAGAATAAATTATGCCTATTTCAAGTTTTGAATTTCTTTTTAAAGGTGTGGAGGAAAGATTTCTCAGAAACTTTGAGCTCTCTCCAGATGGATCATTTATGCTGCTAATTGGAACCTCAGGTTACCTTCACTTGCT